ATTAAGCTTTGAAAATGTAGGGAACTTGGACAGTTTTTTTCCTTCCTTCTCTAAAATTGCCCAGAAAAACTGGTCGATCTAACTTTGAAAAAGTAACTGCATGAGGATCTAAAAATCAAAGAACTTCAAAATTTTAGAGGATGCTTTCTATGCTACCAGATTCATTGGTGATAGATACATATTCTTTTTTACAAGACTCGTCATCACATCTACTGTTCGGATCTCATCACTTCTCACAGTTGATTCGTTTTCCTCGCATTCATCGGAATTTTGTTGTCTTTCTGAATGTCGTAGAATGCTGGTCGAATCGGTTCTCCTTGTAATCTTGGAGATTGCCGTGCTAAGGCGTTTCCACGTGGATTGAAAGGAGCACTGGGATTCAGATTTCAACGAAAGTGTCGGGGGTCAGGCGGGTTAGACTCGTGTGCGTCTGAGCGACACCCGATGAACAGGGCCATTAGCAACTGGATACCTCGGAATATCAAATACACAGCATGAAGAGCACCTATTTCATAGTCGGAGAATCTTATAAGAAAGATATTATGCTCAGTAAGTCCCTAGATCGAGCAAAAACTACTGGGCTACTTTTACTTCTGAGAGGAACAAGCAGAAAATTTACTTATGGTTACATGACCAAGCATCACATGTGCGACATTGGGCATCCCAGCCCTTCTCGAATTCGTCCCCTTTTCTCGCATTCACCATCGACAAGGACACCCGAACATTTTGTGTGTGGTTTTTCTTGCTGCTTTGGTATTTTTGATCTTCGTTACGAATATCGTTGAATCCTGACGGAGTCGACTCCCCTGGAGTCCTTCGCGACCCGTTCTTGGGAGTTCCCGATTTAGTGATTCACCATACAACTAATAATCAACCCATATGTGGTACTGAGAGGCGCGTGTGGGGCAGTGGCCGGAGACGCCCTGCAATACACGCATGGGATCGATCCCAGCACCCGTGGCTTACCAAGCCTTCTATCCCTCGGGAGTCGACAAATTGTTACCAGACTTGTCTGGGAGGATAGCAGCACTGGATTGATACATCTGTACTACACCACGAGTCTTTGTAAAGTACGCATGCATTCACCTCCAACGAAGCTTAATGAAGTCGAATTCACAGCGCACCCCAGGAATTGATCAACGCTGAGAGCTTTATCCATAATTTTTTTTACGTGGCATAGCTTAATGAAAAAAGAAATTTTCAATAGAGCTTAACTAAGATGCCTTCTGAGTAATCGATATAATTCTAGAAATGTTTATGTAACAGAGTTGCACTTTAGAATTAATAAAATTGCAAGAGAGGGAGTAGCGCGGTGGTGGTGATCGCGTTCACCACAAGGTCGGCTGAACCTACACCTGCTCTGGTTCGGCGCCATCTCAGTGTGATATATGTGATGTCGGCCCATGTGACAAATAAAAATTACCAACGATGGTGTAGTGGGAAACTCTGTCAGCTTTATATCTATGATTTTTTTACTTAACCTTTAACATCCACAGTGGCGATTCCAGCACTTCCTACATTCGATTCGTTTGCGCGCATCCATTTTTCATGAGTTTCTTCGAACTTGTGTGCGTAAGTTCGACCGTTATGGGAGGATTTCCATTTCGTTATGAATATCTTGATTGATAGTTGAGTCAGTTCCTCTCGCAGTCCTGTGATAGTTGTGCTAATACGTTCTTCAACGGAGTTGAGCCCAGATAAGTCTAGGACCAATTTCCCCACAGCGGACGGATGTGAGGCTTGGTGAGCCCGACGCGGAGTAGAACTAGCGTTCTTGATGAATAGCATCACTGCTATTGCACTCTCCAATCTTTTATATCTACGAGAATTTGGTTGTAGGCACTGTAATTCTGTTATCTATCGACATTGGAAAAGAATTTATTCATCTCTGTCGTTTATGCTTAACCCGTTGGATTATACTTTGCAAGGATAGGTGTACTCACGTGTGTTAGCTTGGCGGATATTCTCCGAGAACATTCCGAAATTATTTGTCGACGACGAAAATGTACCGCTTCCTAACTACTTCCCAGTTATTTAGTAGCAATCCTAGACAGCTTTCTAGGCATTTCCAAGCCATTTGATAGTCATGTTCTGGTCATATCGAAATATCTGTTACACCACCACGCATCACTTTTACACGCATATCTTATCACATGTAGCGAAAAGATTAGAAGTGTTTACAATACAAATATGATCACTGGTTTGAACCAGTACTTCCCGTACGCCAGCTTCTTCGTCACTCGCCCTTGGCACGTTCGCGTAAGACTTGTCTGGGCAGATGAAACCACTGAAATAATACATCAGCAGAGTTCAAAATCTATTGTATAGGCGAAATGTGTATGGAGTCATCTTTACGATGCCATGAGAATCGGATTGAATGCATTATTCTTTACCGTTTTTATTTACTGCCTACTCTTTTTGATGGCATGGTATATTGCGAAATATAACTCCAATCATGCTAAGATATTTGCAAAACTCCGGACCGCAGGTGTCTGTGGTGAGGAACGAACGGGCTATTGTCCTTTCCGGGGAGTAACGCGTTCACCACCACACCATGCGAGCCCTTTCTCTCAGTTAGTTCTATCGATTTCGGCCGTCAGCAATCACCCGTCAACGTCGATACCGTCAGCGTCAATCCCCCGGAAAGGACAATAGCGCGTTCGTTCCCCACCGCAGACACCTGCGGTCCGGAGTTTTGCAAATATCTCGGCATCATTGAAGCTTTATTCCTTGTTCATTTTGTATAAACACACAATTGAAAATTGTGCCAGGTAAACCGAAGGCTTAGGTCAAAGTGACATAGCAGAGACAGAAGGCCCATGATCTGGATTAATGTTCGAGTTCCGAAAAACAGTGTATACCACTGTAATAAACAGCCTTCGCGGACGTTTCTGGCAGCCTGACGACTGTCGAACTTGGCGCCTTTCATATGATGGATATCTGCTAATTTTACTGCCACGTATCCACATATATTACGGTGCACCTCGAAAATCATTATGTATAGAGTGTGAACAGAACTTACTGATTTTGAGCTAATTGTTTTATTTGACAGTGAGGTAGGGGCGCGTGTGGCGCAGTGGTCAGAGGCGCTCTGCAACACACATCGATCACCACACCCATGGCCCATCAAGCCTTCCATCTCTCCGGGGTCGTAAAATTGGTGCCAGACTTGACTGGGAGGATAGCAGCACTGGCTCGATACATCGGTAGGCCACCGCGCGTCATTGTAAAGGCCAGATATGCATTTAGTTATCTTGAAAAGATGTTTAATGAAGTGGAATGCATGGCGCATTCCTCAGGAATTGATCAACGCCGAGAGCTTTATCCTTCATCCTTTTATTCAATAGTGATGACTGCTGTTTGGCGTGTTGAAATCAGACGAGGTGAATTAAGATGCCGTAGTTAGAAATTGTGAAGCCACTTCCCAACTCGACAATTAGAAAAATAACGTAGAAAGCCGAAAATAAATAGGCAGGTGATGGGGAATTCGAGCTGCAATTTTTGCGCTTATATGCAATTGCAAGTGGCGGGTAGCGCAGTGGTAGTGAAGCCCATCGTCACAAGCTCGGTTCTGTTCGACTCCAAGCCTACCTCACCAAGCCTCTTATCCCTCGTAGGTCGAGAAATTGTTACCACACTTTTTCGGGGAAAAATTACCCTCTGCATTCCACGTTGGGAACGCTCCAGCCCGGATTTCTCAGGACTCCAGGGAGAATCAACTCGACCAGCATTCAACGGTATTCATGAAGAAGGCGACAATCCTCATGCAGCATGCGAACTCAGATGCGAAAACTTCGAAGGTTTTTGTGGATTATGGATGCGAGGACACGAATCGAATGGAAGAAGTGCTAGGATCCGAATAGCGTGGTGCATCAGATGTCGAGTCATGTTATAATAAAAACAGTAAAAACATCCAATAGTAAGAAAAATCGCCATTTCGTGTAGCAGATGTGAAGAAGAGTCGTGTAAATAAAAATAAAAGGTGTAGAACTGCCAAAAAACTGCCAACGTACACTGCCCTACAAAACAGACGTCGTTAGTCGCCAAGGGTTCACCAAGCCTTACATCTCTTCGGTGGTTGGAAAATTGGTACTAAACTTTTTGGAGGATAGCAACATTGACTTAATACATTCATAGCATCCCACATATTATCGTTAGAGGCCATCTGCTTGTCTTCCTCTCCAGTTTTGCTCGTTTCCTTAGCAGATCAGATTTGAAACTCATGCACTTGCATTTTGACCCCAAATGGAAAAAAGAATCAATCGGAAGAAGCATATTCTCTCAATCGACGCACACATGGGTTCACATAAAGAATGAACACTTGAATAGCCTGTCCTCATGAATCACAAAATATCATATAATACCCATGACAATTTATATCTACTTGGTAATTTCTTGATTAGGCATGATTTTCTTCCCGTGGAGTCTTGAATGCTGTGATCGGATTTCCTCAGGTCATCGCTTAAACCAAGGTGGTGGAGATTCAGTTGGAGCTAACAAATGACAAGAAGCCCTTAGAGGAGACTTCGGTCCCATCCAATAACCGCATATTGTTCCCTCTTCACTCTTCTTATTTTTTGTGTGCGAATCTGTAAATAAAAAAATTCATGTTCCTTACAAATTTTACAATGTACAAATCATGTCCAGTCATCATTCGCAACACAGCTTGCAAATGCAACGTACTAATACAAACAAAAGTAACCGTATCGTATGACAAAAGTCATAGCTGAAAGAATAACGCTTATGCTAGTAGTAGGATGTAAAGTGTTACTGGTAAACCACTGAAAGTAAATATTTACAAGTTACTAGTAAAATGATATACAAAAATAGAATGTAGAAGAATTTAAAAAAATAACAAACATTAAAACAGAGTAAAAAAAAAGAATTCGATGAGAACTGAACAAGGAGAGGAAAATGACACGAGTTCATCTCATTGATGTTAAATCAATGAAATAAACCAAAGTGATAGTGAATGACGAGATGAAAACGACAAATGCCACTTAACAACAGTCTAGCACGTACGCGTCTAGAAACGGTGTTCCAGTGAACAAGAGATATCCAACAGACTCTCCCAGGACAACGCTCAGGATGAGATTTCCATTGAAAGTCATCACAATGAGCATCAGTACGTAAGCGAGAAGTGACTGAACACCAAATAATGCTGCTTGTACCAAACGAAATCCTGAGAACACCCGTCTCGGCAGGCTGAAAGTAGAAGTGCAGAATTCTGAAAGGGAACGTCAAAATCGCTTCTACTGCCTAAAAGCGATAGATTAACAGTATCCCACGACCGTTAAGAAGCCAAATTTACCCCGCTATTTGCAATATGGGAGCAAATGGTAGGCTATCCTGAGAGGCAAGATCACCTCTAGAATCTGTCAGTGGAGATGAACTCCTGTTACTTGCACGGGATTCCTAAAAGAAAACAACGTACTATTCTAAAAAGTACTACTCTAGCAACTCATCCACAACTAGTTCAGAAGGTATAAAGAGTAAAACTATTCTCGTCAACAGCGAGACGATGTGAAAAGTAACGATACCTATAGATGAATGGAAATAGAAGACTAAAGAATATATGACGGTACTTTAACTAACAGCAAGTATATTCGAGTAGTTATAAAGTATCCTAGTAAATAATTTGCTAAAGACCTTTAAGTGACAATAGGCTAGAAACAGACGAAATCCCTTGACAGCTTCATACAGGATACAAAGAAGAAACGTTATCAGCATTGAGACGGCCATCCCTTCAAAAACACTGAGATGAAAAACTCAAGGAAGAGAAGGAAAGAATGAAATATGGTCTCTCATAGGAATCAAATAACAAACCAGATAGTGTTCCAGTTTTCCAGAAGGAAAAAAGGATGATCTCCCTCTCGCTAAAATGTACCACCATGTCCATCATTCCTGTCATATTACCGTTCATCCTAAAATGCTGGATCTCAAGACAAACTTCACATCTTTCAATCAGATCAAGAAGTCACAACACAGTCTACTTACGACTGGTTTCTGATAAAACATTCACTTCTGGCCGGCGAATGGCCACTCATTTCTCTCTAACAACATCCTAAGACGTTTTCAACACTGTTAAGCTAACTTGTAAAAGATGAGGAACAGTAAAGGCGAGGAAGTATCACAGTATTCACCTTCCTTATACAAATATTGAGGCAACTTCGACGTTTGCTAGTAAAGAGCTACGTGTAAAATCAAAGACTGAAAGCCAAAACAGCGGAAATCATTGGTACACTGTTTACAGTTCTAGCATCTAATCAAATCTAGCAAATTCCTCGCCAGAATATTTCCACCTATACACAAAAAAGGGATAAAGTTCTCCGCATTGATCAATCCCTGCGGGACCCGTCATGCATTCGACTTTATCGAGCATCGTTGGAGGTGATTGGATGCATATATGGCCTTTACAATGACTCACGGTGGCCCACCGACGTATCGAGCCAGTGCTGCTATCCTCCTAGACAAGTCTGGTACCAATTTGCTGACGCCGGAGGGATGGAAGGCTTGTTGAGCCATGGGCGCGGTGATCGATCTCATGTGTATTGCAGTGCGCCTACGACCACTCCGTCAAACTCCGCATATGCATACTATGGAGAAATATACACGTTGGCTCAGACTAGTGAAGCTAAAGACCTAAAGAAACCAAAGAAGAAAAGGCAGACATTGTAGAACCGATTAAAGCGATGAAATGGAAATAAGCGAACGAGATGAACATATCCGTAGAATAACTTGCCTACCACTCTAAGAAAAACGTCGTGACATAAGAAATGCCACTGCAAACCAAAAAGGAGCGTTTGCACGGATCTTTAAACCAAAAAAGATGAAGTTGCAAAATTGATGAGAAAATCAGTTTACACAAGTTAGCACCATAAGCATCGCCCTTCAACCAAAACTAGGAACGAAAGCGATGAAATGAGGGAAACCCACTTACATTTGAATATCCGTTTATAAGAAGAATCGAAAATAGTCTACAAACACAGATCACTCGAGTAGTATCATGAAGGTTATGAAGTTGGTAGTACCACAGACCGAAATATAAGGTGGTTCCGAGAACGGTTCAATAACACACACCACATTTTATACGACGCCATAATTGTGCTGTGGTAACCGATTCTGCAGGACGTAATCGACTGGGAATTCGTACTGTAGACAAGCAGTGATAGGGGGTGAGGTTACAAAGGTTTGGTTCGTCGGTTGACTACCACCAAGTTTGAGCCCATCTTCCTATGGTTTACCTCCCCATCGTAGCTATGGGATGTTCTTGGGTGTTAAACTCACATGTAGGAAGTAATACGCACCAAATGTTTTGGCACAAATTCGTTGTTAGAGAGTTCAATGTAGGATTTGGAATAGTCATCGAAAATGAATACAGAATCCTCCCAACGGTTTACCTCCTCATTGTGGCTGTGAAGTGTTCCTGGGTGTCGGACTGCGATGTACAGCGAGCGGATTCAGTATCATGGCAAGGTCTCCTAAGCTGAGAAGTAGTCCGGCGTTTCCATCAGGAAGCCTAGCTAAGAGTAAGCCAATACCAGGATCCACCGTCGTCCTGGTATCAAAGTTGCATGGTGGCAAATCTCCCTGTGATCCACAAGGGTTGCGACAGCCTGTGGTGGTGACGACCTGGGGCAGACTTTACCACGCTGACCTTAGGATTCTAGTGAACCACAATGGCTAAACCAGCAACACTCCGAAAAATGGAGATTATGCTCGGACCCGCAAAACCGGTGAGGACGGGCCATTCATGTATCAAGTAGATGAATACAGAATGGTAAACGCTCGCCCAGGAGTTCAATTCTAGAACGGAAACCGTAAGTGTAATCCTTTCCTTAGCACTTTTTCTCTATGAACATTCTCTCAATAATATGCAGAAATCAAGCATATTCTCGTAAAAACAGATGGTGTCTTCTTGGCACGCATCTTCATAGCATATAGTTGATACTTGATACTTGAACGACCGTTCTCACTGGTTGAGCGGGCCTCAGCACAATCTCTATTTTCGGGGATTTGTTGCTTAAGAAATTGTGGTCCCTTGGAATCCCGACGTCAGCATGGGCAAAGTCTGTCCCAGGTCTTCACCACCACAAGCAGTCGCATCCTTTGTGGATCAGAGGGAGATTTGTCACCATGCGACTTTGATACCAGGACGGTGGTGGATCCTGGTATTGCCTCACTCTTACCTAGGCTTCCTGATGGAGACGCGGGACTCGTTCTCAGCTTGGGAGACCTTACCAGGGGGATGAATTCACCGGTGTACATCGTAGTTCGACACCCAGGAACACCTCCCAGCTACGGCGCAAATCGTGTATGACGAGAACTTTCTGAACTTTCCTCTCCTTTTTATATATATATATATATATATATTTCGACTGCACATTAGGTCATACTCAGCCTATGGACTACGAGTTGCTTTTCGAATGATTTAAATCTTATGCAAAAAGCCTCACTCTTTCAGAGAAGGAGTCTATATCGTATCGCCACCAACATTACGAAGTTCGATGTTTCCCTTCAATAAGCAGACACGAGGTTGTTACTATAGAATTTATTAGGATACAGTAGCTGACGTTTCGGCGGTTTCACCTTCTTTAGAGCCTGGAAAGGTCAAATTGAGATGCGATCTACTCAGTCAAACACTTTCATAACCCCAGCAGATAAAACTTAACAAATAAATTTGTATTCGCATAAGAAATGGCTTCATTTAAACACTTATCGTTTATTCGTTGTAAGTGTTTAAGTTGGTTGATGGATAGCAGCCGCACAGAGTAATACATGGGCGAGGACTGCGTCTGTATCAGGCCATTGGACTAGCCTGAGGTATGGCGCCAGGTCACGCGTGATGACAAGACATTCCTCCTCGCGGTTCATTTTCGAATTTTTGGATTTGATCCAAAACGCTTCAAGAGTTTTACGCGCTGATGTTTTTGATTCGTGCCTGAGGATAGTGACTCCTACTTCAAAGTCTTCTCCGTTGTGTTCCTGCATCCTATGCACGTCTAGTGGAGTGTTTGGTTTCAATTTAGATTTATCGACTAGGTGTTTTTTTATGCGGACGCAGAGCGGTCTACCCGTTTCGCCAACGTATTCGTCCTCGCACGTTTTACAAGAGATCAGATAGACTGTACCTGAACTCATCCAATCGCCGTCTCTACCGTTAGGGCAAATTATGCAGTTTTTCGTTATGCATAGACGGTCATATAGGCGGTTGCGAACTAGCTGGCGTCTTAGAGCGTCCGATGGTATTTCTGTCACTCTTACAGAACTCTCTAGACTGGTCCTTATTGAGCAACGTTTTATAGTTACACTTATGTCGTCTGAAATAAAGGGCAGGAGGAACGGAGCCTCGTTTTCGCTAGAATTATTGCTCTCGGGCGTGGTTTTTTCTCTGTGCCTATGCCGAGAAGCTACAGTTTCGTAACCATTTGAAATGGCTATTTGGCGAGTCAGTTTCGAGGATTTTCCCTCCGATCTCTACCTGTGCACACGCTGGCAGCGGTTCGAAACATATTTCTTATAATTTTCTTAGAGGTTCTGGTCAAATTGGTTAACGACAGTTTGTAATAACCGTCTGGAAAGCCTTGTACAGTTCAGGATGTCGAGGGAAATTTCTTTCCCTGTCAGCATTCACATCATTCGAATGGAAGGCGTGATTAGGCCAGCATTCGTGGAGAACACTAGCAAGATTTCCAACTACGGCTTACATCATGACGAATATAAGCGCGAATATCACCCCCTACTTGGTGTAATTTCTCACATTTTTCGCTATTTTCGCACTCTCTTAAGATTTGTTAAATTTGTTCTGAAAGTGGCACAAAGGTGCAGAAAAGTGGAGAAAGCAATCGAGACCGCTCTAATCAATCAGCACCATTCCATTAATGTTTTCTAGAAAGTTCACTTGTATAGAAATATTTTCGTCTTGTCCCTAATGAATGCACTTTCGTACTTCGTGGAGATCTCATTGATGTTATAGAAAGTGTTGCCGGTCGGCTAATTTTCCGACGATCTACAGATCAGACAATTTTAACCCTTTTTCTATCGGAATGGAAGTATGCCGCTTCATTCTTGTTCTCTGCTATTTCCACAAAGGTTTCTACTTTACAGCTTGCCATTAGATAATGTAGAAGTGATGAATGATGTTTGACTATATTATCATTCAATATTCTCTCCAAGGAAATATTCAGTAGGTGATACACACTCTACAGTATTATCTCGTCTTAAATCTCTATCTATATCTCCAATCTAAGAGGACCTGTGTTGTAGAATTCTTTCGTGATCCATCAGCATCGCGATAAACTTTTTATATCAATCATACAATAATTTACAAATTAAGCACCAGTGACAGGCTGATGTATCTGGAAAAGTTAATATACGGAGATGACAGAGCGAAGCCTTCATGGAGATGATTTCTAACTAGTGAGCGTATCTCATTTTCCCTTCTGATTACCCTGAAAATAAAACTACATTTTAACCATTAGAAGCCTATAAGTTACCATCTGGTGTTCAGTAATATTCTCGATATCTCATAGGTCTTATTGCTTCAACATAAAATAGACAACGAATCAACCTCATGTGAGGGATCCCGAGCTTGTTATTTTTGTACGAGATCATATGGTACGTTTCCAGGTGGGGGAAAGAGTTCTATACGTTAATCGAAACTACAATGTACTTGTCCTAAGGCGTAGAAATTCAAGGAATTCAGGGAATGTCTCCAGATTGACTTATGTACCACCTTCTACGTGAACTTGGACGTAACCATGCATGTGAGCGTAGGTATTTCTGTCATCATCCTATTCAGCAGTCAAGAGCCAAAATGAAGTGGCAGAAGAAAAGGAGCAGTTGTTCAGCACAGTTCAAAAACTACTCCTTTTCATATCCTTCTGAAAATCAACCCAAGAGTATGCTAAA